GCAACGCGTGGGGCGTCGTAGGGTGGAGCGTCGGCAACGGATGGCTGGTATGTTCATGTCTATCTCTATATCGCCTCAGTTTGGCTACCATCACGGATCGACTAACATCACAGACCCTGCTTTGCCCTGTAATGTTCGATGCTATTGGCGAAAAGACGCTGTACATCTTTGCCATCAGCAACGCCATCACCATCCCCATGGTGTGGGCGCTCTATCCAGAGTCCAACCAGCGCACCCTCGAAGACATGGACCTTCTCTTTGCCGCAGATACGCCGTGGACCTGGGATGCAGAGCGCACCTTTGCACAGCTCAAGCTTGTATAGTTATCTTCAACCATTACATCTTCACTATCTATCATCATGTATCTATCATCATGTATCTATCATCATGTATCTATCATCATGTATCTATCATGTATCTATCATCATGTATCTTCCACATCTATGTATGTACGTATGTATGACTAAGCTACCGAAGAGGCCGACGGAGAGCGCGCGCCGGCGCCGACCACGCTTTACCCTTTCGGGAAACCAAGTTTCAACGTCAAAGAAAAAAAAGAACTTCGACCTTCAACTTTTCGACTTTATCAAGTTGTTGGTTTCTTCATCTTCAAAGTCTTCCTCGTAAAACGAGCTTGTGAGCTGCCAATTGACTGCTGCCATAGTCTCTGATTGCCCTAGAAAGCAGTGCTTTTTACTCTCTCCACACAACGATGTTCCGTACGGTCATACCTCGCCGTGCCTGTCAGACGGCTTGGGCTCCGTCCCAACGAACCGCCGCAACTGCTTACCCGGCCTTTGGGGCTTACTATCTCCCAAGATCGAGGAGAGGATACGCGACAGAGTCAGGTAGGCTGAGAATAACACGCCAGTTCCGTGGAGGATGAGTTGTCCGGTGCGCTGACCGTTGCTATCTTGTTATTCCCGGCAGAGGAACATGACCTGGTCATAATAGGCGGCGGGGTGGCTGGCTACGTTGCTGCCATCAAGGCCGGTCAGGAAGGCCTAAAGGTATGCTCGTCCTTTGCCTGTCTTGACGTTGCGCGCGTTGACACTTTTTTATTTAAAGACTGTCTGCATCGAGAAGCGCGTTACCTTGGCGGAACCTGCCTGAACGTCGGCTGTATTCCCTCAAAGTC